TCGTAACTTTGAACGGTCACCAAATGAACAGTCATAATTGGGGGATACCCATGCAGTTGTAATTTTTATTGTCCTTAAAATTGCTGTCATGCAAGCAAAATACCTTAAAAGAAAAGGCAGCTCACCTGTGGCAAATTGTTTGCTGAGTCCCGTGATGGGAAACCTATGGCACGTATGCTGGAAGTGGCACACAAAGCCATTCCTACTGGCATGCAAGCAGTCGCCTGGAACTGCTCCACTGCACATGTGCGCATGCCTCCCGCCAGCCAGCTGATTGTCCGATATCTGCCGCGCATGCGTGGGGGTGGGCGGGGCACACGGGAGGGGTCATACGTGCATGCGCAGGGGACAGGGGAGGTGTAGCGCATGCATTCATTCATTCACAGGCACTCGTGTGCACTTCTGGCACGCAACGATGAAAAGGTTAGCCATCACTGGCTTAGGCCATTTGCATTTTTGAGCATCATTGGCTCAATACAGAATATATTGGCCAGGAGAGGATGAAGCCACGATATCAAAGGACAGAGCAGGTTTCCCCCAAATATGAGATAAAAGCTTCCAAAACTTGCAGGAGTATAGTAAAGTGGTAGGTGGGAAAGTGTTCTACCAGAGGGCCGGGTTTGCTTTGGTGTGTGTGTGTGTGTGTGTGTGTGTGTGTGTGTGTGTGTGTGTTATTTTAAATTGGTATCCTGAGACCCACCATACAGAGAAAGCTGCACATGGCTTTTTTCCGTGGATGTTTTTAACAATCCGCTTTGGGGGCTGCAGTATGCGTTTGAAAAAGGAGATGGGCTTAGGATGGAAGAATTCCAAGTCTCAGTATTTGATTCTGAGTTCAATACAAAAATACAATGCCATTTCCTTCTCCTGAAGCTTTTCATCATTTCAGGCCCATTCTTTATGGAAGGAGGTACAGAGGTAGTCCTTGACTTTTGACCATACTTGAACTATTGCTAACTGAGATGTTTGTTAAGTGGGACACATAATCACCATAGTCAGTATGACTATGATTCATGTGGTTTCACAATTGGCATGCATTTACAAGAGTTGTAGCATCCCGGGGTCACATGACTGCTATTTGTGACCTTCCCAGGTGCCTTGTGACAAGCAAAGTCCTTAACAAGTGTTGGAACTTACTGTTGGAATACATTTCTATGCAATAAGTAAGTAGTATTCAGCCAGTAGATGGCAGTGTCTACAAGTTTGCATCCATGCTATGTTCTTTATGCTCTTTTGTTCTAAGTAGAGTTTCCTGTTTCCTGTTTCACTAAAACAGTTGAGGAGTAAAGCACATGGTGACTGTATTCTTTGTTGCTCTATGGTGCTATATATAAGCATAATTTCTATCAATAAACGAAGCTGTATTTGCTTAACAATTGTGGCAAAAAAGGTTGTAAAATTAGGTGTGACTCACTTAATGACTGCATTGCTTAGCAATGGAACTTTGGTCCCAACTGTGATTGCAAGTCAAGGACAGCCTGCAGTTACAAATCTCTCCCCCCACCTTTCTCTCTGTGTGCATGTTTGTGTGCCTGTATATTCTCACTCTCCTGAACTTGTTGGAAGGTGAGAGAGAGAGATGCAGGAGATGCCTGCATGAGATCTAAGTCCAGCCCTCCTTGAATTCCATGCTATTCTCAACTCCTATGGATTTCTCTTAACAGTTACTTGGCCAGATTCTTGTAGAGAACTTAAGCTTGCAATAAAGCTTTATACTCATTTGAACTTCCTGAATCTCCTGATTTCCCAGGCTCTTGACAATATTCATTCACATGTTGTAAACCCATTCTTTTTATGGTATTAATATCACCCTAGTCTACACTCGGAAAATGAAGGATGAGTTACTTGAAGATCCTACCCACCAAATTTTTACCTGGAGAGAATAAGATAGAGCCAAGCCTTTTTCTGCAGTACTGATAGAAGAATGGCTGAGGACCACACACAGGGCTACAGTCAACATCATGAAGCTCATGAGAATATCTGTCCTCAATGCAAACCATCGCAGTGCATAGTTAAACATAAGGAAATGGTTTGAGTTTTCGTTATTCAAGATCCTAAAACTGAAAGGAAAGTAAGAATCAGTTGTCCAATAGTTGTCTTGGAGTGATAGAAGCGAATATTTGTAGCTCAGGGTTGAACCTGATGCTCTCTGAGCTTGGTGGTTTTCTTACAGATGTTTCACTACCAAACTAGGTGACATCATCAATGCTAGAAGGGAATGGGATTTGCTCTCTTTATGTAAGTGGCTTGCCCAATCAGTGATGGTGGGAGTATTCTTGGTAGTTCCTTGATGTTCTTGCTGGTTGCTTGTTCCACCAAAAACACTCCCACCAACACTAATAGCGGGCAGGTGAGGAACCTTAAGAGGTGATAGTGTCATCTCCAGCAGGCTGGTGCTGAAATGCAGAAATTAGCAGTCAGGAGGAGGAGAAAGAGAAAGAAGAGAAGGAGAAGATGGAAAAGGAGGATATGAAGAAGATGGAGGAGGAAGACAAAGAGGAAAAGGAGGAGATAGAGGAGGAGGAGGAGGAAAGCAGAAGAAGGAGGAGAAAGGAGAAGGGAAAAGGAGGAGGAGGAGGAGGAGGAGGAGGAGGAAGAGGAGGAGGAGGAGGAGGAGGAGGAGGAAGAGGAGGAGG